TGCCCATCCCTGGGCTAGCCACTGAGCCAAACCGGTCAGGGCCATACGTTTGTGTTTATTCATAAGATGTGTCTGTGCAGCCGACACCATTTCTAAACTCACCCCCAGGACCAAGACTGTATTTCACAGAAAGCAATGTGCTTGCCAATGACGCCCAGCAGACTAGACTTTGACATAGAAAAGTATTTTTTGTGACGACTGGTAGGTTTACAGCCATTAAGGTAATCCTAGGGGCTGAAAATGCGAGGTGCACCTCGGAGGTTCACAGTGCGTGTGGAATTCATACCCTCCCTCCACACAGCGCAGAGCAGAGCTCTGTCATCACTGCTGACCCGGCTTTTCTTCCTTGTTGGCTGTGCTCTGGGACACAAAGTCTGGCTTTACGTTCGGATTAGCAGGTGCCGGTAGCATTAGCTTCTCAGCCGCATCTTTGCTGCAGAAGAACAGTGAGTGAAGGGTGAGGCTCCGCAGGCGCTCACCTCTGACAGCATTGCAATCGGGTATCACAGGGCCGCTGTTGTGCAACAGAAACTCCAGCGTGTCCTGACCTGTCGTAGGGCATTGCTTCACGAAGGAAAATAAACGCGCTGAAATATTTGTGAAATTCAATAAAAAGCTTTCCCAAGCACTCGTTTCGAATGCGTGCGAGGACAATTCGTCATAGCCTCGTGGTCTTTCGGAACATATAACCGTGTGGTTTTTCACTTTTGTTATGAAATGAATCTGTACCACTCAAGCCCAGTGTGTCATATTTTCTTATGTACCCTTTGTTTTTTTGTTACATTTTTTTTAATCCTCACCTGAGGATATTTTTGCGCTGATTTTTAGAGAGAGTTGAAGAAAAAGGGAAAGACAGAGAGAAATATCAACGTAAGAGAAACATGGATTGGTTGCCTCCTGCACGAGGCTCCATTAGGGCCCAGGCTGGGGAGGAGCCTGCAACTGAGGTACGTGCCCTTGACCGGAATGGAACCCGGGACCTACGGTCCGCAGGCCCACGCTCTAACCACTGAGCAAAATCAGCTAGGGCTGTATGTGCCCTGTAGACTCCTCTTCAGCCTCAGCTGGTTAGAGCCCACAGTCCCTCCTGCCTGTCCCCTCAGTTTTCAGGAAAAAGGGGGGAGGTTCGCACGTTCAAATGACAGTTTATGTAATCGACAGGCAGCTTTTCCTCATCGCATGCTGTGCCTTTGCTCGCAGAAGTGCGTTCACTCTTCCACAGTGTGTTGAAACTTTTAAATGGAAACGCTTTTCGCTAACAAAGGACGCTTTTCTCCCTCCTTCCGTGCCTCCGCTTTCTCCCGGGCCTGGCTCCCTCGGCAGCTGTGCCTCCACCAGCAATGACAAAAGGTGCGATTGTTCTGGCGCTGGCGGCGGAGATGATGCCGGGAGTGTGTGTGTGGGCTGCTGGGACTGTTTTTCTTCTGTGTTTGGTTTTAGTTTGTTTTTGTTATTCCAGCAAGTCGAGCACACCTTAAAAAACAAGCCAGAAAAAGAGAGAGCGCTTTAAAGACCCTTAAACCTTCATCCCCCGTGGACTGTTTCTTTCCATTAAGCTGCTCTGTTCGTGTTTAAGTGGGCCCCTCTGTCCCGGTGACAACAGCTGGCAAGGCTCCTCAGACCCGGCCTGCGTACAGTGCAGAGATGGGCTTTGTTTTCCTTTTCGGCGGAGAGCAAAGCGCGGGGCGGGCAGGTGTGCTCATTAAGTTTGGGATTTTTCTTTGTGGTTCCCAACTCCAGGTCGGTAGCCGTTCTTTCTGTCTTATTTGTTTTTGTTTTTGACTTAATCTGAAGACAACCTCCTTCTTTATCTGCCTTTGCCTCATCTGCTGTTTTATTTTTGACTCAAGTTTCTGGAGTATGGATGGTACTGATTCGAAGCATCATTTTCTTCCAGCAAAAATCTTGTAGTTCTTCTGGTGGAAAGAACTGAACATCTGGTCTCTTTTGGGGACACCCTGCCTATGCAGGCACCAAATATCCAGTCACTGCTGCCCCGACACTGGTCTCTACCTCAGACGCAGCATTTCCTGCCACTGGCGCTGCTTCTGTCTTTTCAGCCTTGATTTGCTTCATTTTTGTATGTTTTCAACCCACAGACCAATTTCTGCACAGATCCTTTGTAGCCGGGCTCTTCGTGGTCCCTGGCAGTGTTTCCCAGGCCTCGCAGGAGGCCGTCCTGCCGTCACCCCTCCCGCTCCGCAGGGGGAGGGGCTGGGAGTCCCCCCAGCAGTGGCTCTAGGATTTTGAATGTTGATCAACAACATTCTGATCTCTCTGAATGAGTGAAAAGAAAAGATGTCACTCTGGTTCAGCCAGCCCCACCGAGGGCACGCTGCCAGGATGACTCACTCCGCCCGGAGCAGTCTCGCCCAGGTGAAACTGGGTCCCTGCTGACTGACGGGGAAAAGGCTTCGGGCCGTCAGTCACTTCCAGGATGAGTTTCAGGACAATCCGACATTTGCTCACCGTGTGCTCTGTAGGCCACACTAGCTCCGGGGGTAGGTTGTGCAGCCTGTTAGGGTGACACTCGGACAGGCTGGAGGTCCTCCTGGAGGAATCGAGGTGAGTGTCAGGGTAGCAGGTGTTGTCAGTCCCTCGCCCCCACACCTCCCTCCTGCCAGGCCCGGGAGGAGAAACCAGCTGATGTTTCCTTCCCTCCGGCCACCCACAGCGTCGCACCCACCCCTGGAATGTGTGGGCGCAGCTCTGTCGTCAGGCTGTGGGTGAACCACGAGAGGGTCTCCTCAGGCGGCAGGGACGAGGTTGGGAAACACTGTGCTTCATTTCACTTCGTTTATTTTGCGTGAGAATATCCTGGAGAGCTTGTCTAAGCCCCGATTCTTAGACCCACTGTCAGGTTCTGCAGTAAGTCTGGTGTGGGGTTTAGGAATGTGTATTTGATTTTCTATTGAATATTCAGAGAGAGTGGGAGGGAGGGAGAGAGAGAGAAACATCTATTGGTTGCCTTCCACACCTGCCCCAACCAGGGCCAGGGATTGAACCTGCAACCCAGGTGCATGCCCTTGGCCAGGAATCGAACCCGAGACCCTTCCGTCCGAGGGCTGACACTCTAACCACTGACCAACCCCAGCCAGGACGGAAGGTGCCTTTTTAACAAGCATCTTGCAAAGGATTCTGACAGAGAGGGTGCTTTGAGCAGGACAGACCAGTCTTATCTCTCTGCCTCTTATTTTTCCAGCTCGTTCCACAAAATATTTGAGGTAGAATTAGACTAATTAGCAGGTAACCAAAGTCCAGTATAGAACAGGTGCCATTCTACCTTGTTATCCCAGGATTCTGGTCAGCCTCTCATTCTTCTTAATCCATAAGAGATTCCCAGTGAAAATGTGGTGTGACTACCTGGCAGCTTCTATGAGGCCCTTCCCTTTCATGGTCTATGCACGAACACATTTTCTAAAAGTCAAAATAAGATCATTCTAACGCAGTCATTAGTGTTTGCTGTAATTATCACGATAGTTTTCCATGTGTTAGATACAGGGGTCCTCAAACTTTTTTAACAGGGGGCCAGTTCACTGTCCCTCAGACTGTTGGAGGGCCGGACTATAGTTTTAAAAAAAACTATGAACAAATTCCTATGCACACAGCACATATCTTATTTGAAGTAAAAAAACGGGAACAAATACAATATTTGTATTTGCATGTGGCCCGCGGGCCGTAGTTTGAGGACCCCTGTGTTAGAATCTTGTCAGAATTAGAGCCTGACTCGCCTCCCTGGGCAAGGCCAGTGGGACAGAAGCAAACACGGTTCACTGTGGGCTGCGCCTCTAGAACAGCTGCGGACGGTGCTCTCGGCCTCTGCCAGGTTAGGCACCTGCTGAGCGTGCAGGGCCGGCCCCGATCGGCCTGGCCCAGCGGGAATCGGAGCAGATGTGCAGGGACAGTTGGGCCACCACTTCGAGTGATGTCGGAGGCAGGAGGTGGCTGGTCCTCCTGGTGACTCCCTGGGACCGAAGTGGCGGGGCTCCCTCGTCGGAGGCACTAGATCGCCGCCAGCCTCGTCCTGAGCGCCCAGTGTCCCCGGCACGGCCTCTGGGCAGAGAACCCTGAGCAGGAGGCCCGGCGCGCGTGCGCACTGCTTTGTGCTCAGCGTGTTTGGTCTTGTGGGCAAGGCACTCGCTATACCTGATACTGTATGTGTAACAGTTACGGTTTAATCATTGACTCCCCCCAGGTGTATGTCTCTCTTGCTAAGATGTTTGTAGAATTTATGTACTTGGTATTTTTTACATCTTTAGCTTATTATTTTCCTTTAGGTGATGTTTAGCTTCCTTTTTTATACTTTCTTAAAATTGTGGTAAAATATACATGACATAGCATTTACCACTTAAACCATGTTGAAGTGTGCAGTTCAGTAGCATTAAATGCATTTACGTTGCGCCATCACCACCACCCACCTGCAGGCCTTCCCATCTTCCCAACGGGAGGCTCACCGTGCAGCCTGTGGTCCTGTTCCTGTTTAAGGCTGACGCGTAGCCCGTCTGGGGAGCCAGTCATTCCTGGACACTTCGCTGTTCACCTTTGGCTCTCACGGATAATGCTGCTGTGAACATGGGGTCCAGCATCCGTGTGAGTCCCGTGGAAGCACGTGAATGGGATGTAACATGACCTCCGCGTGTGAGCTGTGAGCTGGAAGGTTAGTGAGGCGGTGCCTGCGTTAGAGCGGGTCTGACCACACTCACTCCAAGGGGTCCGACCCGCAGCGTCGTCTGTGCCCCGATTCCTCTGTGATTGGCAGGAAGTTAGGCTTTCAGCACATCGCCCAGGAAGAGTCTTAGAGCCAAATCGAACCTTAGTGCCCTTTTTAGTCAGTGTTACTACCGTCTAAAGCGCTGAGCGAGGATAGTGGGATGTGGGCGTGTTCTCCCCGTGCTTTCCTCCACATCCCCAGCCTCGCTCAGTGAGGACATGAGACTTTAGGTCGGAAAACGCTTTAACACTCACTCACGTGCGGAAACTGCTGCTGGACTCTGTTTCAGTCGTGGCCCAGCTACGAGGACGTCTACAGGCAGATGATTGACGTCGCCACCTTCCTGGACCTGCCTCGCTTCCCGGCCATCACGGAGGACTGCTACCTCCACCCCAACATCCTGTGTCGGAAGTACCTGATGGAAGTCAACCTTCCCGGTAAGAAAGGGTATCGGTGGTGACAAGCTTCTAGAACGCTAGTGAGCACAATGGGGTGTCCTCGCAGGTCCCAGACCAGCAGAGCCACCCGGCAGGGCCGTCGCAACAGGAACTTCATTTCACAGCCCTTCCCAGGGCATCCCAGACCACCTGGCCCAGCGCAGAGCGCTGCTCGGGAGTGGAGAGCTCTGCGGGGCGAGGGCTGTGCTGAGAGCACACGGTGGGTTTACAGTCGGTTCGCTGCCTGCAGGTAACGGGACAGACGCTTCGGCGTGTTACCCATGCCCGCTGCCCCCAGAGCAGCACTTCTTCCTGTGCATGAAGCAGGATTATTGCATAAGGAACCCTAATTTAAAAAAACCCCAGAAGCTAATTTTTATTAGACGACATGTTTGTGGTTTGGAAACCTAATGCTACTTCCCGTCCCTAAAACAAGTGGCGCCCCAAGTGGCTGGAGCACGTGAGCTCGTGGGCAGCCACACCAGGACGCAGGGCCACGTAGACTCGCTCACCACACGTGGCACAGGCTGCCCACAGAGTCCTTCTTGAATTTCTGGCTGAACTAGAAATGTGAGAAGTTCAGGACTTTTATTTTTAGGAGAAAATGTAAACGTGGGGTGACTATACTATTGCTTCGAGTATCAAAGTTGTGACCGAGTATATTTTTAATAGACAAGGAAAAGAGATATATGAGAAAAGCAGCTTGTGAAACTGTGTACAGTATTTTAATTATAATTTAAATATAATTAGTAACATATACACAAGTATAAACATTAAGTCTGTAATTTAAAAATATTTTTAAAGGAACAAAAATAATTTAAGCTTTTTGTGTTACAATAAAATGTTTGTGATACAATAAAAAAGTGAAATGACCCAAATTACAAAATTATATATAACATCACTACAGCTACATAACATGAAAGTATTCATAAAATATTAGGAGTAAATATGCCAACTCTTACAGTGCTATTCTAGGTTCTGGTTATGCGTTTTCCTTCCTTCTACCTTCCCGTGTCTTATGAATGTCCTGTATTGAGGTGGTATGGTTAGTAGTGGGGGAAACAACAAACAGATGCCCTACAAATTAAGATGTGCTCCCCCTGCACCTCGGAGGTTAGAGTCTGAGCTGTGGCCTTGGTTTGCACAACACCCATGGGATTGTGGGGAGACTCTGGGATGTTGGTGGCCTTCGCGGGTGCCCAGGAGCTGAGCGCAGTGCCCGCCCCAGAGCCCGCCCGTGTGACCCGTGGTCTCGGAGCAGCAGGGAGGTGTCCTCCAGCGCACACGCCCTGCTGAGTCAGCACTGGCTCTGCCGGCTCTGAATGAGCTCCAACCCCATTTTCTGGTCTTGTTCCTCATACCGGGCCGGGTGCCTGCTCCAGAGAATTCCTGGCAGCTTTCACCGTCGTGTGTGTTTTGTGGGGAACTTGAGCGTTTCCCGTACTTCCACGTGCAGTGCCTCAATAGCACGAGAGCTAGCGAGGCTCCGGGCCTGGCTGGCGGTGGCAGAGGACATGCTGGCACCCAGTCTTCACGTCCCAGAGCCCAGCCGCGTTTCCCGTACTTCCACGTGCAGTGCCTCAATAGCATGAGAGCTAGCGAGGCTCCGGGGCCTGGCTGGCGGCGGCAGAGGACACGCTGGCACCCAGTCTTCATGTCCCAGAGCCAATGTCCACCGCGTTGGCTCTGGGTCCGAGCCCGCACGCCTCAGTTTCCTCCGCTCTTCCTTTCTCATGATTTCTTCCATTTTCTTCTTTTTTTATAATCTTCACCCAAGATATTTGTTTTCCATTTATTTTCAGAGAGAGTGGAAAGGAGGAGGAGAGGATGAGAGAGAGAAACATTGATGTGAGAGAGACACGTCGAATGGTTGCCTCCTGCATGCGCCCCAACCTGGGGCTGGGCACTGAACCTGCAATCAGGCACATGCCCTTGACCTGGAATCAGACCCAAGACCCTTGGGTGCACAGGCTGACACCCCAGCCCTGAGCCCTGCTGGCCAGGGCCCATTTGCCTTTTTATTACTCTGTACTTTTAGTAAGAGAAGCAGTTCAAGATATTAATTTAAAATAAAGTAAGTAGTTTTGCCCTGGCCGGTTTGGCTCAGTGGATAGAGCGTCGGCCTGCGGACTCAAGGGTCCCAGGTTCAATTCCAGTCAAGGGCATGTACCTTGGTTGCGGGCACATCCCCAGTGGGGAGTGTGCAGGAGGCGGCTGATTGATGTTTCTCTCTCATCGATGTTTCTACCTCTCTATCCCTCTCTCCCTTCCTCTCTGTAAAAAATCAATAAAATATATTTTAAAATAAAGTAAGTAGTTTTCAAGAAATGTCATTCTTTATAACAATAATATGGTTCCCATTTCTAAATTATGTGAGAAGAGACTATGCCTCTATAACCCAAGCATGTGCCCTGACTGGGAATCAAACCATGACCTCCTGGCCCATAGGTCAACGCTCAACCACTGAGCCACGCCGGCCGGGCAGCACGGTGTTTGAAGATAAAGCTCGTCATCTGGACACACATGTTAGTGTTTTTGTTGTTTCCTATCGCACTGTCTTTCCTTCCACAGACGAAATGTCCGATTTCACCTGCCAGGTGGTCAAGATGGCTGGCATCGGGGAGGTGGACTTCCTGACCTTTGACCCCATAGCCAGGAAGGGAAGGACTGTGAAGTACGACGTGCAGGCGGTGGCCGTCATTGTGATAGTGTTGAAGCTGCTCTTCCTGTTGGACGACAACGTAGAATGGTGAGTGTCGGTTGTCTCGGGGAAACTGCTGTTGTACCTCATCGGAGGGAGGGACGCCACGCGCTCCCCGTGGAGAGCGAGCTCGGCGGTTCTGGGCAGGGACCGGCAGCAGCACTTCCTCCAGCGCCGGAGTGACGGCCGGTTGGCAGGTGTCATCCTGACTTCGTGCGTGTGTGTGTTTAGTACTTTTTTTGTATCCTGTTTTATTTCTAGTTTCTGGGTAGATACACGTTTCTCATTGTTCCACTGGCTCCTGAGTTTTCACCTTCACAGTCCTAGAGAATCATTCACCTCCATCTGCATGCCTGCGGCTCCGGGCACTGTGCGTCTCAGATCCTTTGGGAAGTAAAGGAACTGTAAAATGAGGCCCTCCCGGAGACCAGCAGGGAGTGGCAGCATTTGTGGTGTCCTCCTCCCTGCGTCAGGGAGGGCTTCTCCACTGAAGTCGCCTCAGTGTCAAGGACTGCGTGTACTTTTCTTTCCGAAGAATTCAAAATTTCACTCTTCAGATGAGGGATTTCTACATAAATTGACTTGTTTGTTGGTGTCTCCAGGTCTTTGTCTGCTATTGCTGAGACATACAACGAAGAGAACAAAGAAGGTACTTGCTTTTTTTTATCAGTCAAAGTCAAAGATAAGCAGCGGGTTAAAGGATCAATAAATGTGGGGATTTATTGTACCGGATTCTTCTTTTACATAGTTATCTGATTATAGCTCTCGGCTATGGAGAACGTCAGTGCCCTCCTACTGTGTGCAAAGGCCAGCTTGCAGCCACGCTAGGCGGTGAACCTCCGGGCAGTGTTATGACTGGGCCGGCTGTTCCGATGCCTTCAGCCTTTGCTCACTCTGGTTCTCCTACCTGAAGTGCTCTTCCCTTTTCCCCCTGTCCCCTCAGCCCCCCCAGCCCTCCAGCCCTGGCAAGTCCCTCTGCACTCTTCAAGGTGCACGGTAACACCTTCTCTTCTCACCTGCTCCCCATCCCCTTTTCCAAATCAGGACTAATCCCTCCTGCCACAGCCACTCCCGTCCAACTTCCGTTAGATGTTTAGCCCATTGAGTGACCACCCGTGGACCGAGCATGTCTGTCCCTAGTAGATTGTCCCTATTTGTAAAGTGCGTGGCAGCCTGTTTGACGTACAATAGGTACTGCATACATCACAGCAGACAAGTAGGTGGGGAGCGGCGAGTGGGCGGGGCCGTCTCCCTCCTACTGTTTTAGAAGAAACGGATCTGTGCTCCCTCCATGGTGACTGGCCGAAGAGACTCAGTAACATGATAAATACGCGAACTCTTACACGCAGTCCCAGTTTCTCGGTGTCCTCACTAGGGTTCATGTGCGTTGTCCTTCCTGAATTCTCAGTTTTATTGAGGAATAGCTGACATATAAGACATTGAAAGTGTCCATTTGTGCTTTGATGCGTGTCCATGTCAAAGGCTTCCTGCCGTCCAGTCAGCTAACACACTCATGCCCGCACGTATGTGACTTGTGTGTGTGTGTGAAAACATTGAAGTTTAACTTTCTTAGCAAATGTCAACTATACTATACAGTGTTACAACTGCAGTCACTGCCTCTCTATCGGATCCTCAGACCTTGTTCATGTTAGAGCTGAAAGTCTGTGCCTGTGACCAGCTGTCCCGATCTCCCGCCCCAGCCCTGGCGACCACCTCTCACTCTTCTACGAGCTTCACTTTCCTAAGATTCCACATGCTTGGCCATTGGTTTGTGTGTGACTCCAGAGCACATGCAGTGCTTCGTTCAGCGACCGCCTCGTGTTGGTCCCACACAGAGTGAAGGGGTGGCCATGGCCAGGCCGGCTCCTGGCGCCCTCCCGGCTGCAGGGCCGCCCCAGCCTATGGAGCCGTGTGGAGCAGGCAGAGCACTCAGACATGTTACCTCCTCTGACCCTGAACCTGAGCTGTCAGCGGGCAGGGTCGTCTTCATTCTTCTGCTCTGCTGCCCACTGTCCCTACGTCATCAGTGAACTTGCCCTTAGAGAAGCTGTGACTTGCTTAGGGTCAAAGGGCCTGGTGTTCTGTTGACAGTTGCCCCTCTGCCTGTAGCTCTTTGCTAGTTGCCGCTCCTCGGTGGCTGTGTGGCCTCCGAGGCCTGTGGGATTGAGTGATGACCATTTAGGCCAGTTGAAAAGAATTGTAACTAGACCTGGAGGGAGACTGTCTTCATGAGAGAACATGGAAAACTAGACTTACGCAGCCTCTTCCTCCTCCTGTCAGCCTTCCTTTCCTCTAACTCCCTCACGCGGATCCTCTTTTCTGCTTTTCCTTTCCTTTCATTTCCCCTCCCTGCTCGTCCCACCCCCAGGTAGAGTGAATGAAGAGCGCTGGGTGGCTGAGCTGGACTCCATGCAGCTCTGACAGCTCTAACCTTGACATCCCAAACACACGCCAGCTGTGCGGGGCAGTCTGCTTGCCCACTTACCCCGAAGCTCTGGGTTTGGAATCGGAGTAGGAAGAACGAGAGTGGGAGCTGATGAAACCGGAAGTCTGGATTCAGCTGCTGTCGTGCCCTTCCACACGTGGAGTGGCCGTCAGTCCCTTCCTCATGTGGTCTCAGACACAGGGCAGCTGTGTGCAGGCCCTGCGCTGGGCGCTGGGCGCTGGGCGCTGGGCTGGGAGGAAGAGGCCTGGTGGGTAGTGGAAACAGAATATGTCCTGTGTCCTCAGGGAGGTAGTAGCCCAATCTAGGAGAAACAGACACACAAAAGGCAGTTTCCATGGCATCTAGTTGGGGCTACGACATCAGTAGAAACTCAGAGGAGGAGTGACTATCGCTCAGGACTCGAATAGAGTCCAGAAAATTGACTCCATCCGTAATTTCCAAGAGCTGTTGTATAGATGTTTAATTATGTCAGCGAATGAAGATTCAGATGAATAATGTATATTATTATAATGTGACTAATTTGATTATCATGGATTTTTTTTTCAGATAAGCCATGTTTTGATTTCAGAAAATGGTACCAAGTTATGAAGAAGTCTTTTGATGAGAAAAAACAAAAATGGGAGGAAGCCAGGGCAAAGTACGTCATCTCTGCTAGTTTTAGATTCACCTACTTCTTTCCAAGTCTGCTACTTTACATTTGGAAGATGAAGGGTCATCGGTATGGATTCATCAGCGTTGTCACGCTTCTGTTCTGGAAATATTAGCCGCTATTTTCTAATAACCTTTTTCTTTAATTGGAAAGTTCTCGTAAAATAGAGATTCCTCCAAAACACAGCAAAGGGAAGCAGATGGGCCTCTGCTTCGGTCTGTCTCCCTGGCGTTGAACGCTGTGCCGAGGAGGGTCCCTGTGGTGAAGGGGGGAGAGCCCGCCGCGCTGGGGGCCCTGCCTGTGGGCAGCCTCGCTCTGTGCCCGCGGGCAAGTTACTGAACCCCGTGGCCTCCGTGCACTGGGATTGAGTTTGCTCGTAAATGTACCTCTGTTTCTGACTCTCTATTCCTTATCAGCTTTTTTGGTAGAAAATCCACAGATATTTCTTGAGTGTCTACTAGCCAGACACTTGGTCAGCCCTGGGTAGGAACTACTTCCTACAACGGTGCAGGGTTATAGCACGGCCTTGGTTTTTCCTCACAGCAACCCGTGAAGGCGGGCAGACTTGGAGATGTTGAGTCTCTTGGTTTGTTCATTTATTCGTCCAGTCATTCTTCACCAGACACTTAAATGAGTCCTTACCACGCGCCGGTCCCGCAGCCTGGGGGGCCCGGGAAGGAGAACTCCAGCATCTGTCACATGTGACTCCTGCGGTCACGCGTGGGAAGTGGCAGAGCCTGGCCCCTGCCTGCGGCCACGCTGTCTCAGAGTAAGAACGTGGCCTGGGCGCGAAGGAGGCAGGTCTCTCCCTGCTGTGAATCAGGAGAATGGAGCCTGTCGCCCCTGCCTCCTGCCTGGGCTGCCCCCCACCCGGGAGGGCCCACACGCCCTGGGTCTCTGCTCTGGAGGGGACGCTGTGTGTATTTGGGGGAGCACTGCGGTACCTCCACTTTACTAGGCTGCCTGGGTGCCGAGGGTGAGCATAGGGGCTGGTGGGACTGTGTCTGCTGGAGCCCAGACCCCCCCCCCCCTCCTCACCAGGGTAGGCTTGGCCTCCAGGCGCGTCTGTGCATCCGAATCAGAACCACTGACTTCACCCTCCGCTCAGGGTCAGCTGGCTTCACTCCCTGGGATAGGCAGCGGGCACTTCCTGGCGCGGGACCCGCCTCCACTCTGCGTGTCATTGGGAGGTTGGGGTCTCTGGCCCTGGAGGCTCTTGGGAGGAGCACAGCTGCTGGGGCTTGTTCTCTGCACCGAGCTGGGCGCTTTCACTCTGCAGGGCGTCGCTCTACAGCCTGTGTCAGGGGGCGCCTGAGGCAGAGCTTTCACCCCGAAGTGCAGTTGTTGCAGGCCCTCCTCAGAGCCGCGCTCTGGCACGGGGTGCGGCCCTTTCTCCTCCTGCTCCAGCGGTGTTTCTGCCCCCACAGGTTCGTGTGGAAAAGCCAGAAGCCACTCTACCACTCGCCCATCGACAGATCAGTGGTGTATAAGCGAAGGGGTGAGCTGCCTTTTCTCTCCTTAATACCTGGGTCCTGGCTGGGAAAGTGAGTGTGCGACATTCTTCTTGGGACCCAGGGGGGGTGCGGCCCTTTCTCCTCCTGCTCCAGCGGTGTTTCTGCCCCCACAGGTTCGTGTGGAAAAGCCAGAAGCCACTCTACCACTCGCCCATCGACAGATCAGTGGTGTATAAGCGAAGGGGTGAGCTGCCTTTTCTCTCCTTAATACCTGGGTCCTGGCTGGGAAAGTGAGTGTGCGACATTCTTCTTGGGACCCAGGGCCACATCCCCCCCCCGCCCCCCCGCAGGAAATCCCCCAGGAAGCCACTTCCCCAAATAGCAGAGGCTCCCGCCAAATCTAAACACTTCCTATGGCTTCCAGAACTCTGTGTGGAGAATTGCCTCAGGTTGTCTTACTCATAAATGTGGTAAAACATAGAATAAAATTTACCATCTCAGCCTTTTTAAGAAGTTCCCCTACACCCCTCACCCACTTTCAGTTTCCCCTAATGTTATTGACGATGCATCTGTCATACTAAGAAACCAACATTGGTGCATTACTATCAAGTGAACTACAGATTTTATTGGAATTTAACATTAGTTTTATTTCTTTCCTTTTCCTCCATTTCCAGAGATGGTGGTGAATCTACAAAAACAGTTTAGCACACTGGTTGACTCAACACCAACTGCTCCCCAAAAAAGCCCTTCAAGTTTTCAGTTCAACTGGACTGAAGAAGTCACCGGAGGAACCTGTTTCCATGGACACAGCCTCCAGGGCATCCTGTACAAGAAAGGCCAGTCAGTGACGACCATGAACTCACTCTACTGGCTCAGTACACAGAAGTTCTGTAGAAGGTGGGTGGGACTCTCGGAAGTAAAGGATCGGAAACACGGTAAGATCTCTAATTTTCCCTGAAGGAGTATTTTTTTCTAATTAAAAAAGTCACATATAGCCCGGCCAGCATGGCTCAGCGGTCGAGCGTTGGCCTATGACCCAGGAGGTCATGGTTCGATTCCCGGTCAGGGCACATGCCTGAGTTGTGGGCTTGATCCCCAGTGTGGGGCGTGCAGGAGGCAGCCGATCAATGATTCTCTCTCATCATTGATGTTTCTATCTCTCTCTCCCTCTTCTTTCATCTCTTAAATCAATACATACAGATATTTTAAAAAAACAACTTTTTTAAATAAAA